ATATATGAAACAATGTGTTTAGGGTGTTTAGGGTGAAGAAGTTACCCTGGTCTCTATTTATATATTGTCTTATTTTAAAATTTAGTATAAGAAGACAAAAAACGATATTTTTATGGTGAAAGTATTAGAATTTTTCTGGACCTCAATATTTTTTGAAAAATCAGGTGCAGTTTTCCATATCGTTATTATTATAAACAAAAATGTTACTATTTTTGTACCAAGAAGTATTTTTCAAATTGATATAGTGCTACATATAACATTTGTATCAAATATTTATTACTCTATACACCTTACCAAAATACGTCCAAAAACGTGATTCTATAAATAATACAACGTCTTTATATTGCCATAGGGATCTTGAAACATGTTATCCTAAGAATAAAATAATGAATAAAGAAAATACATAGTCTGTATCTTCTACACAATTTTTCCGTTTTTTTTTCTCGGAATAACTTTTTTCGTCCTGCTACCATCAATAGTTGTAAACTATCTTTTTTCTTAAGTGAGATAAGTTTAGAATTAGTTTCGACTTGTAATAGTTGGAAAAAGTTAAATCGACTTTATGAAGTGTTCTGTGGTTAAATGTAAGATTTTAAGCAGCTCTGTGATAAATTGGTCGAGGACAAATAAAACTAAAAGTACAGTACACCTTAAAGAAAATAAGTAGAACTTGTTATGTGAATTAGTTAAGAAAAATGTACCTTATAGATTATAATTGCCAAAAGCAACTAATATATCGTAGAACCTTATGAAAATTATTGAAGGAATTATATTGTGTGGTAAAATCAAGGACATCAAATAGGATATCAAAAAGTATAAGATTGGATATTAAAAAATTTGGATCTCTTGAATTGTAGATGTGGGTACAGGGCATCGTCTGTCGGGTCATATAGTATATATATATATATATATATTTATATATATATATATATATATATATATAAACATATTCTTCTACCTAAGCTCGTTCGAATCATCATTAAATTTTCTTGATACTGCATTTGTGACGCACTAGACTCAGACGAAGAGAATATCGTATTATAGTTCCTACCCCCATGTAAGATAAATAATTCAGAGCAATTTCTCTGTAATATACACCCTTAGCAACATGTTATTATTACTGCAAGACAATTAGGTTTCTTTGTTTCATCTAGTAAGAAATTACAGTGGTGAAGGGTATAAGAAAATAAAAGCTTTTATGAATTATAAAGTTCATATGTAGGACGAAACTTGGTGGACTGATGGAGGATCATGGTTGGAAGAAACTTAGAAATAAAAATTACAATATAAATTCTTAATTAAACATTGCATATATTTTTGTATGTTTGTATAGTATATATATATAGGTATGAATAGATATACAACATATTTTAGGCACATTTTTTAAATCTTTTAGTTCCAAAAAATCGTGACTCAATATTCATAATGTGCAGTTTTTTTCTGGAGAGCAAAGTTTGCTCAATTCTTAAACGCCTCGATATTTTCGTTATATAAAATGCAACACACACACACACACACATATATATATATATATATATATATGTGTGGTGTGTGTGTCTTTGTATATATTTATTTATATAGTTTAGTATAGTATTATAGTATATAGTATATTAATTCTAATCGCTGCGTAGGTTCAGTTTCGCATTTGTCACAGAGTAAGTAATTAATCGGTAATCGTGCAAATAACTGCCACAACCGGCTTTGTTAATTATAAATACACCTACATATACAAACACCGACATATATATATATATATATATATATATTATATATATATATATATATTACACTAATATCTATATATGCAACTATCTAAATACTTGTACCTATACCACTATTAGATGGCATTTGTAAAGTCAATTTCATTATATAATTAATAATTCTGAAATTCAATTATATATATATATATATATATATATATATTATATGATACTTATCATTATTAAATTTATAAATAGACTTTAAGCAAGTCATTTAATTACATATTAATTTATATTTCATTATATGAAATCGTTCTGGAGACAGTTGCTGAGATTGTAGTTAGAAAATGTGTAGGAGTAGTTTTAAAGATTATTAATTAAACTATATTTATTGTGTGTAGTGTTTTATTAACACGCTATTTGCCATGTCAGTCATATGTGTCTGACGTTAATATGTTTTACGTGAGACACGTCAGACATATATGTTTGACAAATTTTAACCTGAAAATTTCTTGACTTGTTCAGAAAAAAAGTTTCTTTGTCAGTCATGTATGTGTGACATAAAAAATAGTGTTCGCCAAAAATTTGGCAAAAAAATTTTTTTGTTTTATTTTACAAGTTTTACTAAAATGTCTAATAAATTTACCATAGCCCATGTGATTTTTTTTATATTCTCTTAGCGATTAACGTGTTAAGACCATTCTGAACAAAATATTACAGATGGAGGAGCTCAAACTATTTTATTTGTTCTTTTTTTTAGACATCAGTACGCTTATAATATTAAAACAGTGCTTATGTTTTTATATTTATAATTATGCTATTTACTAAAACGTATTTTTTAAATTAATTTCTTAGGTAGATAAATATTATTATATTTTTAGGTAGATACGTATACATTATTATATTCACCTCTATATAAATATTAGAGTTAGATAATTGTATAGTATTCAGTTCAGATTTTTTATAAATGCAGTAAGTAATTCTAAGATTTTTAATTAAAATATATAAAAATATAAGTTTATGATTATGTTTATAAAAGAAACACTAGCAGCTTGTTGTAACAGTTTTTTTTTAATAATTTATCTTGAGATCTTCTGATTACGTTTTCACGAAATCAAGATGAATTAATGCTGTAACTAGAGTCTTCTACTAAATTCTATAAATTAAAATATATAAAAATATAAGTTTATGATTATGTTTATAAAAGAAACACTAGCAGCTTGTTGTAACAGGTTTTTTTTTAATAATTTATCTTGAGATCTTCTGATTACGTTTTCACGAAATCAAGATGAATTAATGCTGTAACTAGAGTCTTCTACTAAATTCTATAACTATTGTGAAATTCACAATTAAATTAAAATAATTGTTACAGATTATCAAAGATTATATCATAGATAAATCTAAAACGAAATAAAGTATATAAAATTTAAAATTTGTCGATATTAATAACGTAAACCAAAATTTTATAATGATAAAATTTTATATTGCATGCCAAAAATGACGCACCTGCACACTTCTGTTTGCTGCTTCGGTTTGCGCGACAGTAGTGTATTAAAATATTATGCAGAACGGTTTACATGTCCAATCGAGATAAGCAAATATTTTAATATCGGATCAAATTATATTTGATCAAACTGAAGTAATAATCAAAATAATTCTTCTTCTAACTATTCTTCATGCTATGTAGGGATGAATTGATTATAAAAAAACTTTAGGATTTTCTTATTATACATTGAAACTAATAAACTAATAAATGATATATATATAATATATATATATATATATATCTAAGTTTTTTATTTACATACTATAAACACAAGCTTTTCAAAACAAGTGTTTTGCCATACAGAGTGTCTATTTAGAAAATAACAGAAGCGAAAACATGTATGCTCTGTGTTTTCCTCTTAAAAAAATGAAAAAAGGAAAAGCGACTCGTAGAAAAATATATCGAAAAGCTCAGAAGATCCTAGAACTGTTCGAGAGCTTTTCACGATACATACAAGTGGAAAAGCTCGATATTACATTTGCATATATATTGAAGAATTAAAAGTAATCCGTTTGTTATTAGATTGTTATATTTGCAGAAAAATATATGTAGCGAGTTGAAGATTATTATGGAAATGTGTGATAATGTATTTTATTTTTATTAAATTTATATTTTTATATAATGCAATAATGGGATGTAGGATGGATAAATTGTGTTTATATATAATGCTGCAGCTTGGAATTCAATTTTTTATCAATGGAAAAATATGTATAAAATTTACAAGCAAAAGAGATAATTTACATAAAAATTCTGAGTATGTCTACAAAGGGTCAACAAATTTAGTACAAAACCAAAAAAACAGAGTAAAATTTCCAAAAAAAAAAACCCTTCAGATACAGATTTTATATTTTTATATTTCCAGCTCAATAATTTCCATAATAAAATATTTAATAAAAATCAATTTATTCTCTGTCATGCACTTTCAATCATGTTTCATTAAATCATTTAAAAATACAATTCTGTCTTTGCTGAATTAAAAATTGTCGATAAATTTGTATTCATTGTTCTATTTTTAATTGAGTTTCAACGTAATGAATGAAGGAAAATAGATGGAATGAACTATTGTATTAAATTGAAACACGTGTAGCGGAAAAGCTCTGGAAATTATTATTTTTAATATAAATTAAAACTCAAATCCAATATATGAAATTGAAATGCACTCGTAATAAAACATGGAATATAAAAAATAAACTATATAAAAATAATATGAATTTAGACTCACAGTCTAAAGCACATTTGCACGTTGCACATTTTAGTGTGTAATTTAGTAATTGAGAATTTTTTTTGGTTATACCAACTATCTTTCTATATATAAATATATTTTATCAAAAAGATGTAAATTTGAAATGCACAAATGTATGCTAAACTCAATTTCAACATTTATGCAGCTGATAGGTTTCTATTGAAACTTTATATATATAAAAAAGTTCTTTTGATCGTCGTCTTCCAATTCGTCTTCCTGGAAGCTTTTGCATAATTTTTCTACATTTATTCAAATTTCCGCAAAAACAACTCTACTGAGCTGGTTTTACATATACTTCTGATTATTGAATATTTTATAGATATAGAAATAGAATATAAATACGTATATGATGCATTTTATATTTTTTGTTATTAAGATGCATCCATAGTGTAAAAGCACTAATTTTATTATTTAATATTTTTACCTTCTGTTTTCATTTTTCTTGAGTCTTTGGTTTGATGATTGCTTTTCATCTTATAAGACATTTATATATTTTTCTCTTATTTTTCAGGGATTCACCGTGGCTTTATTTTATTGCTTCTTAAATACAGAAGTTCAAAATACTTTAAGACACCATGTTGAAAGATGGAAGACTGCTCGATCATTAAATGGAGGTTCCAGAAGAAAATATAGCAGAGAATGGTCTCCCAGATCTAGAACTGAGAGTATTCGGTAAGTTTTTATTTTTTTAATTAAACATTAGTAGAAAAGGACATGTAGCCAAAAATAACGCCAGAAAAGCATTCATTCAATAAGATGACCCGAAAAATATCCTGATCAAATACACTAAAATTTTTATCCATTTTTTATATTTATATGTAATTTTGATTGTTATTAATTTATAATAAAAAAATCTATGAACACTTTTAGTCACTCCGAATCAGCTGACGATAATAGAGTTTACTTATTGTGAAGTTATTATTTTTGCTACAAAAATATTATGAATATAATTCCATAAGTTTTTGAGTTATACGATAAGTAAAAATTTTGCAATATTTGAAAATCGTGAACAAAAAGTTTACTATTTTGACGTTATTTTGTCTTGTAAATGGTATATGAGGTTTAGAGAAAAATCTAAATGTAGGGTCTATAGCCAAAAATAACATAAAAACATTCATTTCAATATTCCTACGATTTGGGGTCAAAAAATGCAGAAATTTTGAAAACTACTGATCAAAACTGCTCAAATGCACTGGAAATTGTAGTCATTTTTTGTAAAAAAAAATTCAATTACTCGAATTGAGCTGACAATAGAGCCAATTATCACTAATCATATTAAAAATGAGAAGTTTCTACGCAATTTTGAAGTAATTTTTCACCTTTCTGATCATTTTTGGACTACCACGAATAGTTCAAGAATTATATCTTGTTCCTTATATATGAAAATGGTGCTCGGTATTATGTTAAGTATGCTAAAGCTTTAAAATGACTGTACGGATTTGGCCAGTCTTAGTCTTGAAAAATTTGTGGTAATCCAGATATTATTTCAAAATCGCATAGAACTTTACATTTTTAATTTGAAAATTTTTGTAGAAGGGTAATTGAAATGAAAGAATGGATGGCGGCTCATACGTCATATGTCAAATGTTTTTGACAGATGATGTTCAATCACATTTAATAGGATGTTTCAGATAAATATTATTTATTTGTGATAAGTAGTTTTGTTTGTAGTTTTATTCATACACAAAGTATCAACATTTTTGAAATGTTAATATTAAAATGCACTCTTTTTTTGCAAATCATATTTTTCTCAAACTCGGTGTTCTAAAAAAAACCCGTTTGTATAATTTCAAACTCATAGGTATATATTGGCATTCAAACAACATATTCTACACATCTTCAAATAAAGTATTTTTTTTTATTTTCTAGAAATTGTTTAGAAATGCCTTACTTAGCAAAACGTTTGCCGGGTCAGCTAGTATATATATATATATATATATATAATCCATTATCCATATGCTTTTATTTACATTTGGTCTTATTTATCCTGCTAATACAGCATCTCCTAACTTAATTCATTTAACAAGACGTCCTTAAGATGAGTTTCTTTGAGGAGACATAAGCTGATTGTGGTTAATCTAATATCAAATAAGCAGTCTGGTCTTTATTTTTTTTACCCATCATCTGGCACATAAAAAAATAATATAATAATATCTTGTCTAGATATCATTGCATTGGCCATCTACTTTTTGGTACTTAGACATTTACCATCGATTTCTATTAAATAATTAAAAATTTATAAGGTCTATTATGCTCCAAGGCAGGTTGGTTCAGAAATTGCTGCTCTGATCATCTATTTTTGACATTCACATATTTTTATCGACTTTTTTTAATTAGTTAGAATTTCATATGGTCTATGCACTAAGTGAGGTTTGTCTAGGAATTGTTGGAAAATAATATAATAATATCATCTTGTCTAGATATCAATGCTTGGGCATTTACTTTTGGTTCTTAGACATTTGCCATCGATTTCTATTAAATAATTAAAATTTTATAAAGGTCTATGCCCGAAGGCAGGTTGTATAGGAATTGATGGTCTGATCATATATTTTTGATATCCACAAATTTTTATTAAATAATTAAAATTTTATATATGCTCCAAGGCAGGTTTGTTTAGAAATTGCTGCTCTGATCATCTATTTACATATCCATACACTTTTTATCGTTTTTTGCTAAATAAATAATTTTTCATTAGTTCTCAGCTCGAAGGCAGGTTTGTCTAGAAATAGTTTGCTATGATTGAAAAGCATTGAACCAAATTTTGAGAAGTAAAAATTGTAGGGACAAAATAAATTATGGTGTTTTTTAATAACAATTCATTTATTACTATATACATTTAATCTGATTTACTTTCCTCATGTTACATTTCTATTAAAATCATTTAATAAAACGTGTATGTTATAAATCCCTTCATAAGCTGATTGTGGAAAATAAGCAGTCTGGCTTTTTCCATGAATTCTATGGTCTGTGAAAGAAATAATATTTATAATAAGTTTTTTTCGCAAATCATCCACTTTTGTGGATTTAAACCGTATAATGCGTTTATAAGTTGTTTTTGAATAATGGGATTATGACGTGACAGAAAATATCAAAGGATTTGACAGATGTTTGTGAAGTTTTTAGGATTTGTCTGGGATAAAGGTACCTATATTTGTTCTAAATGATAGAACAAATATGGGTTGGTTTTCATATATGTTGTTTTTACAAATATATACTGTAATAGCTTATCTTTTTACCTTAAATCAAATTTATGATCATTAAAATCAATTATTTATAAAGTTAGAAAAAAAATAGGACTCACCTCCAGTGATGCAGTTTTTTAATGACAAAAAAACTAGTCATGTATGAGGCATTTAATGTTAACATTTTTTACATTGATACACAGTTATAAAATTAATTAAAAAATTTAATAACTTCAATCCAATTCCAGTAGTATTGCCATTTCCAATAATATTGAAGATCCAACCAAATTTTATCAATAAACTTATCTTTACTATCCATTTGTATATCTCTATTTCAGAGTTAATAAAATTATCTAAATAGCTTCAATTTCAGTAAATCTGAACTCATATAAATATCTGGCAACTTTTTTATATTTTATTACGCCATTCTGTCAGAAAATGACGTCTTTTTTCAAGCTGATAATAAACCGGTTGGATTACACGATCGTTTTGGGAAATGGTTTTCCTCGTGATGTGTTTTCCTTTAAGTTGTTTTCCCCACTCCCATATCGAATTAAAGATAAACAAACCGTTGTGATAATAGGGGGGTTGATAGAGAGAGTTTAAAATTCAGTGGATTTTAATTTGACTCGATTTTGTCTTCGATATTAGGTTGTTGGTATTTTTAGTTATTAATGCATCGAATAATTTATTTTTAACTTTAATTAGGATTATTATAAACATTTTTTAAGCACTTGCTAAACAATCTTGTTTTTGCTTACTAAATTTTTTATTTACTTCATTGGATTTTGTTTTCTTATTTCTATACGCTCAATTATTTTCAAATTAATTCAAATGTAGTTGTTGTTATTGTTCGCACAAAATTCTTGTAATTTGATTTTGTGTATCAATTTGTTAGATTACTTGTTTGTTCATTATTTGCGTTTTTTATTGGCAACAACGTTCAACTTTCTTTCTATATTTTGTACTATTTTCATATATCCCATATTAATTATAACTGACTTTTTTATTCTTTATTTTCTTCTAACCTTGCTTCTTTTTTTAAGTTTTAATTATACTCTATCTCAAATCAAAAATTCAAATTCTATTTCTTCTTTTTTTTCTTCATTCATTTCTTTATTTCTTCATTCTTCTTTTTATTTTCGCATATTCTATTCTTTTGTCTTCTTATTCCTAACTCAACTCAATTTTTCGAACTCTATAATTTTAGTTACAATAATGCAAACTTTATAACAATGCCAGGACTCGGACTGAGTGTTCCTAACCCATGGGTCGGGCATACTACTATCTGAGCCACGCTCACCACATTTATCTATATATTCACTAATTAATTTATTTTCTTATCAATTCTATTTTTATAATTATTCTTATTCATTTATTTATTTTCATTCTTATTTTTGTTATTATTACTACTATTTCAATACTGTTTCCATTATAATTTGGGTATCAGAATATTTTATCTAAAAATGTATATATACATCAGCTCTCCTACTATTTTAGAGGGTGCGGATTACATGATTCAATAAAACGATCGTAAACCAAAAATAAAAATAAAAACGATATAGGCGTTTTGTTATTCGAGCATTTGCATAAGTGTCAATTTTATTATCAGAATTGTTCGAGATATAAAATTATTTATTCATTTACTGCCTGCGAAATAATTAAGGGTAATTGTTTTATGCAAAATTGAATGAGGAATCTTAAATTATTATCTTACGTTTATAATATATATATATATATATGTAGCGGGTTGCCAACACGCATAGCGGCTTGTCAACACGCATCACATGTCTCTGGACAGATTGGCCCATATAGTGACAGCACTGAGAAAAACAAAAGGAAATTCAAGTGTCAGATCGGACACGGCTTTTGTTTCTCCCTAGTCGAATTTGCCTAAAATGTATGATTCTTAAAACCTTTCTTTTCAATTATAAATACGAAAATACCAATAACATTTTATTAACGATTAGTATGACAACACATAGTGTCGTGGATATTAATCATATATAAAATAAACGAAATATAAATAATATTTTATGAAATTTATTATGACTACAATTGGTATTAATATGGACCAAGCCTCCATTTTTAGAAGTAACAAAATAAATTCAAGTCTCAAGAATTATTAAGAAAAGAATTTTTAAAAATATAAATAATTATTATAAATGGCTCACAACTTCCATAATTCGAAGAGCATTCTAAGCATACAACTGAGACTCCGACCACGCACTTCAAGATCAACAACAACACGTGCTCAATAAATCACTTATTATCATGGTAAATAAGTCGATAATAAGCACCATGGCAGCAGACAGGGAGCAAACAATTTGGCAACCGCCACATACACTCAACCGCTAACTCACCAGCGAAGGGCCACATACAATCAACCGCTAACTCACCAGCGAAGGGCCACATACAATCAACCGCTAACGCACCAACGAAGGGCCACATACACTCAACCGCTAACTCACCAGCGAAGGGCCACATACAACTC